CCCTGTAGGGGGATCCAAGGTTGTTTGCTCGCTGTATCATTGGCTTTCGCGCTTTTTTCTTGGACCAAGAACTCGTCTGATGACTCTCACGGTGCGTGCGTGCAAGGGTGCAATCCTACCATGTCCGTTGCATCGGATTGGTCATGTTTTGGCTTTTGGATCGTTTAGGCATGGTTGTGAGTCTTTCTCATCTGTATCCATCCGGCCAATTGGTTTGGTGTTCCCTTGTCCGACAAATCCCATGAAACACTTTACTTCAAACGAAGATGAGGTAGGAATTTGTTAGAAGGAGGGAAGGTAAGGACAAATCGGTCCATTAAATCTGATCCTATTTATTATCCGTCTCCTACAACAAGTATACCTATCTATTTGTTCCTAAATTTCCCATCTCATTCAAATCCAGTATAATGACTGTGGGTATCTGCGGGTCTTGACACCTGGAGCCCCGAACTCACCCTCTATAGTAGTTTGACCATGTCAAGCCATCGTCTAACCTCTGTTCATTCGTCTCGTGGTCAACCCAGGAGCCATGAGCGTCAGTTGTCGTCCGTTAACGAAAACAACACCGGCCATCCAAGGTTAAGGTAACATGAACAAACCCAGATGTTCTCACCAGTCACCAACAAAACATCCCCTAGAAGTCCAAGTCGACACACACGCACACATGTTGCCCCACTGAAGAAAAGGACGTTCCGGAACTCGGGTTCGCCGTTGTCCTCGTCGCATTTGTTCATATCGTCTTCCTGGACCAGTCTGCCATGGTCCAAGCTGCTCGGCAAATGTAGTCATGCTCCGCGTTGTCGTAGTTGGAATTGTACACACCTGGAAGTTTTGGAGAATGTCCAAGTGTCAGTGGTCGATGAGGAGGAGGAGGAGGAGAATGATGAGTGCACTTGCATTAATGATGAAGGTTAAGTAGCTGCACAAAAACAGACCTGCCAGACCTGCGTAACCACGAACCCGTCAACTCCCTTCAGCTTGCACATCCTAATGAATCTAATGATTGTATGATATTGTATGTGTGCGGATGACCCTACTGAAACGCAATCTTAATCTGCACCCATCAAAACCAGGTGAAGTCAGCTTGATCCGGATGAATGAATCCAGCTGTTTGCAACAGAAGGCCACTCTATGTACGGATCGACTAGTCACTAGTCACAATGCCAGGTCTGCCCCCCAAACCACCTGATACACCTTTGAAGTGTCAGAGCTTGGGACAAAGCGTCGCTTCCGACTCCACTCATTTCATCTCAAGGACCAGCCCTGAGGGTCCAGGACCATCCTAAGGGTCCAGGACCATCCTGAGGGTCCAGTTCGACCATTCGATTCGGAAGCACGAGGCCTCACCTCACCTCCGAGACCGACCATCCGAGCAACGGATGGTGGAGCCTTAGGGCAGTAAAGATCCCAAGTCGTAACGAGCACGGTATACCATGAGTGTCTGTTGGAATCTAAACATACATGTGTCAATCTAAACATACATGTGTCTGTTGCACTCCATCCCCAGCACCATCCCCAGTCTCCATCCGTCTCACTGGGCCGTTTCCTGCCTTTGGAGAGCTTTGTGAGCACGCGTCGTGGGGCGTGCGTTTCGCTGTAGCCGAAGTCATTGCAGCACACCTGGTACGTGGCCTGGGAGCAACGGCGAAGAAAGAAGCGGAGTCAAGAGCCAAGAGCCATACTGTTGTTCGCTCAAATGACTGAAATGCATAAATGAATGTGATATATATATATTATATAATTATGGAATCAATTTGGAATTAATAGATGATTGAAATTCACAGCCAGGAAGAATACCACTCATTAGAGCGGCTTCAGGGCCGTCTAACAGCCTTTGATTCCGGCAGAGCCGACCTCGACATCGACGGGTCGGGCGACTCCGGGAGTACGACTGGGAGTCCGTGCCACGAGATTGACGGTCACGCTCCGCATGCGATTCCCATGTCGAAACTCCTGGCGATGACGAGCAGCACACAGCGGTCAGAGTGCGGTCGAGCGCGGTCAGTTGAGAGCTCACTGAGATCGGACATGAGGCAGGAAGGCCTGGCCTACATGTTCGGTTTCGGATGGTTTCGGTTTTAGTTTGTATGCCACGGTGCCTGCCAGCGGGGGGGGTCTGTCGGATATCGGTATACCTTCTGAGGATGTGTCTGACAGGCCCAAAGACTTGGCCCTGGAATAGCCTCGAAGTCATTGAACGTCCAGTTCTTGGAATAGCTGAATAGTGTGCTTGTCTGGTGCATGCCTTCATCCCCCATTCAGGTTCATCTAGTATCATCACGTATCCAGTTCAATCAGGGACAATCATGGATGACATACATCATGCATTCTGGTGTCATCTGGTGTCCACATCCATCCGACCAGTGTCCACCCCCATAAACCTTCACTCAACCATCCACGCCCAGCCGACCCGTCCTCTCGCTTCTCCCCAGCGCCAGCATTGGGCGCTGAAAACTGATGCCCTTCCATGTCGTTCCGAACCTGTGCAGCTTCCGGTACTGAGAGGTGAGCCCACGTGCGGGAGAGTCGAATCCACCTCGCTTCTCCAAGCTCTGAGACTGCTCTGAGACTGGTCTTTCGTCTCAGCACCCCAAAGGCCGAGACCGTCGACACCCACAGACCGTCGTGGCGAGACGACCGGAGTCGCAAGCGCCAGGCGCTCGGCCCAGACTCGGTGGTGTCATGGCGCGGGAGACAGGACTGGATCCAGCAGGGCGGATCGATCCGAAAGGAATTGATGTGGTTGAAGATATTTTTATAGTGGAACTCGCAGCAAAGTCCCCCAAACACAGTGCGGTGTTCCAGAAGCTCTCTCTCCCGAATCTTCCCTGTACTGCTTCACCTGCTTCCTCCAGCTTTTCTCTGCAACTCCCGCCTGTCGTGGGTCACTGTCCAAAGGCGCACGTAGCGAAGAATCCGCTCCACATGAGCCTGGACGCTCCCAGGTAGCCCTACTCCTACCTGCTACCTGCACCTGGCTCTATACAGGTCACCCATCTGCCACTTTTAAGTCTCCAATGGCAACCTTTTGGAGGAGGACTGTTGGAGGGTGCACTTACAGCGATCTTGTGGATGGTTTGAAGCTTGCTTTGAGGCATGGCCTTCTTGTTTTCCTCAAGAGACTCTCTAGACAGGAGTATGTAGTGATCCGCTGCCACCTTCTCTTCTCGGTACGACTGGACCCTCCTGGACTCCTGGCGCCTAAAAGTATCTCCCTGCTCACCTTCTCACAAAGAAAAGTAGATCGGATTAGACGGAAGTGACAATAAGCTGCTCGACGTGCACTCATCCACCCCCTATTCCAAGGGCTCCATCCATCCTAATTAACTCATTTTAGCACCATGACCGATCAAATTTTGGCAGTTGAAGAGCCAGTAAGAGAACATGAGCTGCTCATCTCCAGCTTCACCGATACACGGATCCCTTCGATCGTTAGATCGTACGATACGACGCGATCGCGCCATCCGGTCTCAATGGATTCAACATGGATTCAACCACTGATTCAACCTCTATTCATCGATATTCGTCCAGGAGCTAGCTGCTAAGCCTATTCTGGGGTTTGCCTTCAAGAGTTGAATGGGTTTGCCCTCACCCCCCCCGGGCCCATTCCTATCTCAAAAGCTATGGCTATGATCGAAAAAAAACTGTCAAAGGACTTCTTCCCCCAGTTTCAGGGGATTCGGGATGGAAAGTGAATCCCCATTCCAAAGTGGATGAAAGGGTCAGCGCTGATTCACTCTCAAAAGCGCTTCCCAGCGCCCTTGGTCAAAGCGCGCTTCACCATGGATGGAACGTTCCCAAGAACCGCTCAGCTGGCGCCCATTTCGACGATCGGAGACGGCTTTTGGGCCTCCTTTTGGCCCAGTCCCCGGCAAAGAAGTGCACACAGCAGGGGAGTAAAACAGCACAAAGCAGTTCTTGTGTTGTTTTTGGTGCTGTTTTCTTTTCTATAGGGCTATGACGGTCCAATCATGGTGACGGACTGTTTAGGTACTGTTCCTCTGCATGGCTTACTTAAGAGGCACACAAGCCGCCTAGCTGCCCTGCATGAATCATCATGACTCAACTTGTTCGTTTCGCCCATGTTTCGCTGCCCATGTTTCAGCTGCTGAGCTCTTAAGCTTGCCATCCTCGCATCTATTTGCGATAGGTCTTGAACCTTTGTATGGCAAGGGTCAACCAGTTCAGGGCCGCCAAGGGCGGGGCCAATCATCGAACAAAAGTCTCCAGATAGCAAACACCGTCGACCGTGCACAGCCCCAAAGGCAACAAAAACGATCGATGGCCAACGAAAACGGAACAAAAAGGCCAACCAAATCATTATTGCAACGTAACAGCTTCAGCTTATATATCAAGTGCGGTTTTAAGATGTTTTAAGCCTGTTGGCAGTCCACATGGTTGACACTGTCGAGTCGCACATCAATGGAGCTGATATGCTCCGGACAAAGGTGTTGACAAGGAATCGGCACCCGTTGGACCATGTTGGAACTCCCGTTGTCTGAATCCAATAAAGCCTCCCACAGTTCCATCAGGACCTTGTCTTTTTGGGAAAACAACAGCAAGTTGCGAAGACCAGTGACTTTGATGGGAGAAATATATACTGCTTGAGAATCAATCAAGGATGCATAACAATGCAACAACTCTGAGAAAACGGAATTGATCATCCCATGAAAAAAAGGTTGGGTCAAGCTCTGGCCCAAAATCAACCTTAAGCAATGACATGCAATGACCAAGACATTTGGTGTGTTCACATGGTGGTGCGCGATGAAGGCTTCCAGTTTGGGGGGGATTCAATTTCACAGATTGGGAGTGATACTTACACTGCTAGTACACTCCAAAAACTCACATAGACCCTGACTGTTTGGCCCCCTGGAAGAGTCTTTTCCTCTACCAACCAGTGGTTTTCAGGGTCCATGGAATCGTCTTCCAGGGAGTAGATAAGAGTAACGTCGATTGAAATCCATCATTCGGTCGACGCCGACCGAGTTCACGCCCTCCTTTTGCTTCTCAAAGCCTGGCAGCCTCCGTGGACACCACGCCACGCTCTTGCAGCACTGGGTTCAGGATGGCGTACCTCGGTGTCTCGACTCGATGGCGTTCGGCGTGACTCACTCGGCGCATGACATCTGGTTGACCACGCAAAGAACGTGGACACCAGGCAGGCGATCAAAGATCCTATTGATAGTGGGACTCTTAGCTGCTTTGAAGGGTCTTTGGATGACTCAAACAACATGTCCAAGTCATCGAGCTGTGGAATCTCCTAAAATCTCCAATGTTTCATCTGATTCACATCCACCAGACCCAGTGCTAAACAGGTCACTGACCCCAATCAGCGATCGAAGATTTATCCACACCTGATATACACCTGCACTGCTCCGCTCTATTCGTCCAATTTTCCCATTTGCCGGCCGGCCATACTTTAATACTCATGAGTAATATGCTGCAACTTCCCATATACTCATCTTCTCCTGAAGCTGCAGCTAGGATCCTTTGCACACCATTCCCACCCTTGATCTGCTTGGCGGAAAAGAAAAAAACCCGCAGAAAAAGACACCTGCACCAAAATATAAGCTTCCCACACACTTCCCAATCCGCCCCCCCCTTTGGGCGACTCCGGACTCGTCCCCGAACCAGACTCTCATCCGCCGATCCGCGTGTGGGAGGCCCTGAGGGCCACCGTGAGAATGGCGAGCGCCGCCAAGAAGTTGCAGGTGGCGGTGACCGTGAAGGTGACCTGGGACCGAGGCGCTGAGGCGTTTTGGTGGTGTTGGTGGGGTGGCGAGCGGGTGGGTGATGTGTTTGTTGATTGGCGATGTTGTTGTTTCTTGTTGATGCTTCAATCACACGTGGGTGGGAGAAGGTGGAGGTGCAGTCTTGGGAGGAATGGATATGATGTAGTATGATGTAATTGAACTGATTGGTGGTTTCAACTCACGAACAAGCACATATGAGGACCAGTGGGTTCAATATGGTTCAATCATCCCAAGTGGAGGGGGTGAACTTAACCATCTAGGAAACCAGCACTTATATGTGGTGGTCCAGCAGCGCAAAGCTTCATTTGGATGATCAACCCGGGATCGCTAAAAATCGTTCCGTCCTCAGGCATTTCATCAGAACACCATGGTGAAGGATCACTGCTGCGGCAATCGAAACTTAGGTACACCTGAGCACACCTTTCAGGCCACCTCTTTAGGCAAACGGACCAAAACATGGAAAGCGAGACCCAGTTGAACATCGCTAGAGCTCCTATCCCATCTTCCTCAGGTGACCGGTCTTCGACCCGGCACCCACCGAAGCGAAACGGAGGTGGGCCAGGAGCACCAAACGGCAAGACCGTAGCTTCGTCCATTTCGGGGTGAACCAAAACCAACTGCTGCTGTGACATCGAAACCTGTGATGCGTTTCTCCGGTCAGGGCTGGAGAAACGACGCCTGCACACCGGACCCCTCACGGCCATATGTCCATGGCACGCCAAAGCAGCGCGCACCCAGGCAAATGGCTCGGCCTGGCTCGGATACTAAAAGCCTCGTTTTACTGGAGCACTGAAGATCAGGGTCATACCAAAACACATGGTTCTACTGAGGATCCGGTTCTACTGGGTCTTTGAACCTTGTAGAGAAAGAAGTTGCGAGAGTTGAGGTGCAGCGTGCCACTGGTGGGATGGTCCAAAAACCTTGAGCTTCTAGCTGCAATAGCCACTTTGCAGGGTTTTGCGCTGATCGACTGGGCTAGAATTCCTGTAGACGATTGTAGAAGTATACTCACAGTCCTCATGTCACCACCAAGAATGCAGCTGTGTATGAACTAAAATAATGGTGACTGGCTGAGAATATCGGGATGTACTTCCGAGAGGTATGTCACATGGATGTTCAAGGGATTTTGAACAAGATCAACTTGCACCCCACAGGCCTTATTAGGCCACCTCTACATCGACGACTGGGCGTTTCTTTGTTTTCACCTCGCCTTGCTTTTGGGCCTCCATATCATAAAGGAAGCCAGCCAGCAGGTCACTCATCACCATCGAGCCGATGAAAGGAGCGCAAAAGATGTAGCTATACTTGATCGGCATCTCCTCACCACCGGGTCACTCGGCTCGTCCGGGAGACGGAGAAACCAGAAAAAGAGGTCTTTGGACCTCATTTGGACCCGAGGCAGTGAGAAGGCTGACCCGTGTCAATGCTTGGGGGTATAAGACCTGATGCTGTCACCGAACCCACCAGCGGTGCCCCACCCTCAACCATGCTGGATTGCTCCAGGAAGCCCGGCAAAAAAAAGAACTCCACAAATCTTACGATTCCCTGTAGCTCGAGAAAAGTCACGCACCTGAAGCCAAAAACGACCACTTTAAGAGGTGACATGAGGTGACTGTGAATAACCCCTTATGTAGGTGATTCGGGTTTTCTATATATGCCAACTTAGCAAATCTGACTCCTGAGCAGTTTCCTTGAACATAAACCAAACTTTCCACCTCTTCCGTGTTCAGTGAAGCTTTCACCAAAAAGAAAAGGAGCCGCATCCCCAAGCATGCTTGGACATTGCAGTTTCCCACTTGGGGTAGGAGATGCTTCTGTTTCATCCACCTCATCCCCATCCGCCACTCTGCACACCCACGGCGCTCGCACCTTGGGTCCAAAGACCTCCTCCACCAAGACCTTTGGACTCGGCGGTGTGAGGTACATGGGTACATGGTGGAATCAAGCTGAGCTGCTGAGCCGGTGGGGAAGTCTGTTTAATCAGATGAAAACATGATGAAACATGCTGGGTGATGGTGATTAGGTACGTCCATCACCTTTGGACCTTGGAACAAAAAGGTGACAGTATCAGAGTCTTAGACAATTATGGGGGGGAGCAACATGGAATGCTGGAACACATCACGCCAAGCAACCATGAGCATGGCATCGATGATCTATTTTCCAGAAGAAATCACTTCACACCAAGCAAACCTAATTAACCATGCATTAGTAACCTAGAGGCATCACCATGAATGATCTCCAGTAACCACCGAAGAAAATAAACAAAACACATGCACCTGGATGTTTGAATCCATATGAGAGTCACCCTTTTTCGCCTCTTTCCTCCAACCGTCTCTTTGCCCCAACCCGTGCGCGTCCCCCCCCCGTCCCGAGCGGCCGCTTGCAGCGCGAAGCTGCCGCCCAGGGCGAAGCCCACCAAGGCGGCGGAGACCGCCAGCAGCGCCTGGACCGAGCTCGAAAAGGAGGACCGGTTGGGAGGGGGCTGGGCTGGGCGAGGACCTTTAGTAGTCAAACTGTTGGCCTTCATTGATCTTGGGTGAACCTGACAAGTGGAGTTTCCAAAGGCATAAGACTTTTGACAGGAGATGTCAGTGTATCCTGGTTGAATCTGGAGGGCTTCAGACCTCACCTGGAGCATGCCTGGCACAGCTCGACACAGCTGGCTCCACCTCCACCCACCTGCACCTAAGCGGTGTTTCACGTCGACCACCGGATCGACAAGGCGTGGACGCGCGGACGACGGAGGGCGCCTCTCCCAAATGGAGGAGCAGAAAGGCCAAGGTCATCAACGTGGCCTCGTCTGGGTGGCGAAAGGGTTCCGGGTGGCGAAGGGTTCCGGGTGCCTTTCAAATGGCTTGACTTCTGAAAGATTCCACCCAGTGGATTCAACCCACCACCCAGAGAAAGATGAAATGACAGTCCCTTGTGGATCCACTGGCACCGAACCAGGTCGGTACGGTGATTGGAGACTTATTTATGCAGGCGGTCTTGGAGGGTCCAAGGACGCCTTCTGAGGTACGGTGGCAGTGGATCCCTAGGGAGTGACAGCTTTCATGGACCAATGAAAGTGATCACCCCATGAGATCCCGAAAAGTCAATGGCACCCTTTGGAAGAGGGTTGTCCTCTACCAACCAGTGGTTTTGGGGGTCCATTTGGGCCTCTGCCAGGGGAGTATCTGTTTGACCATGAGCCCAGCGAGTATTTCTACCAATTGGAACAGTGGTGCAAGCGCAGGCTGCTGAAGATCTATGAGAGTCCATGAGCGCAATCATCAAAACATATAAAACAGTACAGTATTAAAAAAAGGTATGTCAGTTACTGCACTATGGCACGCCTCCTATACTTATAGTCCTTGACTCTGAGTAATTAGATAACCAACCCAAGGTTAGCATGTTTTGGAACCTGCGTCACTCTTAGACATCCTTTGTGGTTTGTGCCACTTGCTCAGGTCAACCACATCACCCCTAGATTCCCCTAGATCACTAACCGGCCGAGCTGTTCTGTGACGGGAGGCTGAGATGGCCAAGAACCAAGGACGATTCACTCGAGCTTTCCTCAGGTGGCGCGAAGAAACAAACATCGACATTCTTGCGCATTCAAGTTCCTGTATGTTTCCTCTAGCGCCACTCTGGTTGGACGCAGCTCAAATTGGTTATGTACACATTATGTATCAGCCCTCCTAGTACATATTCACTGACCCTTGAAGGAGTGTTTCAAGCTGCAATGAGTGTCAACAACCTGCCCAAGAAAAACCTGGCTTTGCAAAGGAGGTCAACACATGGTCAACTGTCGCCTTCTGAGTCTTCACTGTTTCTCATGAAGCATGAGGGACCCTCCAAAGACGACACGTCTTGGCTACTTAAGAAACAGTGGTTTCGGCATAATTAGATGGCACTGGCACCCCCAAGATGTCTTAGAGAAATGGGGATCCACATATAAATCACCAAGCTTGGGGTAACTTGTGCCATCTAATTATCTACTCTGAAACCACTGTCACTTCCTTAGAATATCTAAAATTGATTCACTCCTGGCAGCCGGCAGCCATGGTCCTCTCACCACCTGCTGAGCACCCCCCAAATCCTCCGCGCCCGAGCGTCAAGGACTCCGAACCGAAGCCAATGAAGATCCGCCCGCAGGTGTTGAAGATGGAGAAAACGGTGAGATAGCCCACCTGATCACCGGGCGGTGATGTCACGGGTCGATGTGTTCTGTTTTGTGTCGTTTTTTCCGAAACATGGCTGCAGGGTGTTGATGGGTGTTGATGGGTGTCTGCTTTGAAGAAACATCCCTTTCCAGCCAATAAACATGCAAGATGACGTAATGTGTTGAAAAGGCGCAAGAAAAGAACCTAATTCATCGAAAGATTGTGCTGGGCTCTCATTTAAGCCACTCATCCCTTTCTCAGAGTGCCCAATTCATTCCCATCCGTTCCTCACAGTTCATATCGTCCAAGGGGCGCTGGATGCAGCTGGGTTCTTTGAGACAGCCTTGACAGGGATTTGGCTCTGATTGAATTGTCAAATGATTTTAATATTTCACTTTAAGGTATGAACCACTGTAAAGCCCATAGTGAGGAAGTAGACATGATCCTTGATATATTGATATAATTCCTTATCTTGACCAGTGCGAGTAAGTAGATCATCAACGTGCTTCAATGCAACACATTTCCACTCACATTTCCCTATTTGGGGTCAACAACTATATACATGTGAGAATATGAACTTAAGCACTGCTGACTGAGTATAGATAGTATAGGCTTTGTCCGGGTTCTCAACTCCACAACACAGCGATTCAGACTCATTCTTGGCCGGAGTCAAGCGGACCTGCATGAACAAAGCCTTGCGCTCTGTCACTAAAGTGCAGCATTGCAACATGTTCGCTTCGGCCTCACCTTGTCCTTGCCTTAACGACTCATTGTCCAATTTCCCTTGCTCTCTGCTCTTCTTCGTTTCCCTTGCTCTTCCTTGGCTCATGCGTTCCAACATTCCGCTTCGGCCTCGGGTGCCCTGCTTCCGAACGCATACAGCACCTGCGTCACCTTTGGACGCCTTCCGGGCCTTAACGATCTGGCTGAAGTTGTTGGACAAGCACAGTCCAGCACCCTGGATCGCCACAAACGCCAAGAACCTGACGACGACGTGGCCGCCAGAGGGGTCCCATGCCGTGGGTGTGTTTGGGGGGGATGTACACCCCTCCCTGCAGCCTATGAACCTGGAGCCCTAGTAAGGCTATTCTCATCTACCACCCAGTGATTTTTCAGGGTCCATGTTAATCTGCAAGAGGGTGTAGCGCTTTGGGGGGTTGAAGGATGGTTAACATGACGTGAGAAAAATGCTGCTGGGCTAAGACATCTCCTCTGCTGCCTAGTGGGGGGGTCTGGGTCCTAGTCCGGGGTCTGAAGGAATCACAAAACACAACATATTCTAAGAGTTCCTTTGGACCCTGGGCGTAGATAAATGATATCTTTGATCACTTTTACTTGTTATTCTCAGTCAACGGAAGTAGCTACCCCAAGGTTTCGAGTCCCAGCACGGCCTGCACGGACTGCAAGCATGAGTGTTAAGCAGTGCGTGTGGTCTGGTGGTTCACATGGTCTGAGGACTTTTGCATATGGACAAACTGACCTCCAGAATGAACCCTTCCATTTATGTTGCTCACTATGTTTAATCACTACAAGCTAACTTTCTTGCAGTCCCAAACCCATTGGTTGGAATATGTTGGGGTGGTCTCCCTATTCTAGTACACACCCATGGAGCCGTTGGAGGGACCAATTGTGAACATCCGACACGAAACAATTGTCTAAGAAAGGGAAGCTGAGCCACGTCTCCTGCCTTCCAAAAACCAACCCTATAGTATATATACCCAACTAAGTATGGTGTTCCTCAACTTTAGGCTTCTCTTAAGTACATTCACCATCTTGAGTAAATAGTCTCAGGAGGCTGCTCTTTTAGGAACACCATCCTCCCCGTCAAAATTGACATCAAACCTCTTTGCCGGACTCGACTCTTGCCTGCCATTTTGGGTGACAACCAGACCAAACCGTATCAAACGATATCATACCATATCAAACGAGTGACAGCAAGTAGAAGTCTAACTTCAGCAGCATCTCCCAAGCAGAGACGTTTGGACGCTCCGAAATCTCCCTGGGCCGAGCAGAACGACACGAAAGACCCATTCCGTGGACCGAGAGGACACGGTTGGTGCCGTAGTTGGTGTGACAAGGACATGGTCTAAATGTTGTTTTGGGAAACTGGAGTTTCAATGAGTTGCCATATAGGGTCGACATCTGGAAGATTGACATGAAATTCCCGAGATGGATCCGCGGATAGACCCTTAGAAGGATAATGATGCTCTTCAGGGAGCTGACCCCCTTCATTTTGTGGATGTAACTTGCACTTAAACAGCGCTAACTGTTTGATGTGACACGTGGTCCTTCCCGACCTTTTTCTTTTTCACCCAAAGGCTTTGGCTAATATATTGCATTTTCATTGAGGAAGTTAAATTCCTTGACTTTAGACTCGAAAGCGATTGACAGGAACTTGTGAAGAAACTCTGAACCATGCCGTGTGGTTCCCAAAAGCTGCAAAACTGACTGACTGGACGATCCAAATGAATTGACTGGAAATTGCCATGTCGCAACTGCGAAAGATGGGACACGTATTGTCCAAGGCATAGAAACAATTTCAAGCAAAATACAATTTCATGCAAGCATAGAAGGGTGAACTGGGTGGCAACGACGATCCACTGAACTATATTGGACTTGTTGATATCATCTGAGACATTCTGGGATCCATCCATCCGTTACAAAATTCTGATGGTGGTCCGAGACATGAGATCTCCACGGCGTTGTGAAGGTCGCTCGCATCTCTTTTTGTGGATCAAGGTCTGTCACAAGGGTTTGCTCTAGGTCCCTCTGGGTCTTCCAGCCCAACAACCCATTCGAGGCCTCCTGGTGTCGGCCAAACCCCGGCCAGTTCCTTTCCCAGTCCTGCTGTGCAGCGGCTGCTCTTGAAGCAAAGGCCGGCCGGTGGCCGCCCTCGCTGAGGGCGCCCCGCTGGCAGTCAGTAAGAAGAGGCCCAAGGGCAAGAGGACAGCGACCTCACCGAGCCGGATCAACGAAAGAATGACATCGCCAGATCAAAAACCTTTGGAGCTGCTGAGAGAGCAATCTCTCAGTCTCACTGCGTGTGGCTCAGATGTTGGGACCTCCAATCAAAGACACACCGAGGGAGCAAGCGTCCTACATGATTCTCGGAAAACAATGAACGAATGCGTGACACAAAAAATGTAATTCTCCCAAAGCCTGGATATTCATCTCCAAAACGTATTCTCTTTCGTTTGTCTGCCCCCCTTTTGCAGAGAGCGAGCAAATGACTTACATTTTGATTTTTGGTTTTGCAGTCACTTGCAGCCACTTGCTCAGGCAGCCACTTGGCAGCCACTTGTCACTCAAGCACGTAAACTTCAACACTGTACTTTGAGTTCTTTATGTAAAAACGGTAAGACTTCTTCGTCGCTAGCTCTGCAGAAGTTTGTTTTTTTTTCTCGGAAAAATCTTGGACTATTTCATGATTTCTCCGCGCGCAGCTCGGGAGAACACCGGAATTTCTTCGCAGAGCAGCATTGTAGAAATCTTGGTTTTCTTCAGAAATCATGATATTCTCCGGACAGAAGTAGCAGTCACTTGCAGCCACTTGGCAGCCACTTGCAAGTGGCTCCAAAATGGAAAATCAAAATGCACACCTCCTGCGAGCTCAATGCCCTTTTGTGAATCGTTCTTCACGTCACCAACCTCTGCGATCTGGGCTCCAGGCTACAGCCACGGGTAAAACGTAGGCCTTGAAGTAGACCACTACTGCCTTGGCTGAAACACATCTGTCCGACTGGATTGGTAGGTCAACGACAAAAGAAGGTGTTCCATCATCTAGCTGTGTCAGTTCTTAGTCAAAGGAGCAAACTAAACTCTCAAGTAAGCATGAATATCTCATCTCAAGTGAAAACAGAATTGAAGGTGCTCCATCATCTGACTGTGCCAGTTCCTGGTCAAAGAATCAAACCACATTCAAGTAAGCATAAGTATCTCATCATATCTCATCACAAGTGACATCATCTGACTGACATGTCTGAGTCTCTGAATATGCCGTTGCTGGGTTAAAACTTAAAACCATGTAATCATGTAATGCAGATCCATCATGATCCATCTATTTGCCATGCACCGGTGTACTGCAGATGGGTGGCGCAAAAGGCGGTATACACCAACAAGGCGACCATGAGGATTGAGAACTTCCAGGACACGCGAGCCTCATCCTCCTGGAGCAGCGCAAGCAAGGCAGCAAGCAGCTCGTAGCTTGAGAATGACATCTACGGATCGCTGAAGGCAGGTAGAGTTGAGAGAGTAGAGAGGTGAGAACTTCTTGGACTTCTTGGCATGACCAACGTGGTGAATTGAACTGTGGGGGGAACGTTTTAGGCACCCCAGGTAATGAACTACCTAAGGGGGGGAGGTCTCCTACTATAATGTGCAGAGGTGCCAAAGTGGTGAATTGATTGGTTGGGAGAGGTTTTACACCTGGAATCACCTGTGTGATTACCAATCCAGGCACAAAACAACAGCACACCCCTAGGGGCGACAGAACCCACCGCCTACTTGAAAGCTCAAGGGTTTAGAGCCAAAAGTTGGATTTGAGGTTGGTAGACAACTGTAGACAACTGTAGACCGTGAGATTCTCCAATTCTCCACATCCCTCCGGCAAAAATCCACAACTTCTTGCAAACCTTGGCCTTTTGCTGTTGACCGCGTCATTTGGAACCTGGTACCTGGTAGCCTGGTAGCAACTGGAATTCAACATGAGACCCTCCAAATCCCTTCCGTAAGACCTAAGATACGCCCAATGCAATCCTTTCCCTCTGGTTCGATTGGGTTCGATATGCCTTGGATGTGGCTCTCGGGCGGGAATTCTGAAATGTTTCACTCCTTTGAATGATCATGGTTACGTGCATGGCATTTTTCCTCTACTAACCGGTGGTTTTCCCCTTCCATGATGATTCCAGGGAGTGTACATGTTTAGCTTCGGGAATGATGGTCTATTCAACATTACTGATTAAAGAGCAATTTTTTTCACCCTAAGAGGGTATCCTATGTGCAAAGGCCTCTGCATGCCATGTGAGGCAGCCTTTGTCCAACCCAATCTTTAATCCAGCCATGATGTTCTGTTAACTTCGATGCGGACACCCATTCTGAATGAACAAGCCAGTGACAAAGCCACAGGGGTATGGCATGGTGATTGGAGAAAAAAAACCTTTCAACAACAACAACAACAAGACTGCTCACACACTCA